TAATTTCTGGAGTGGAAAATAATTTTTCTCGCTTTGTCGTTTTTCTGCTCCATAAAGCCCTCCTACTAGCTAGCGACCCTGTAAAGTTACTTTCACCATGTGACTCCGCCGGCCAATCACACCGAGCAACCCAGTCCCCGGATAAGGAACCGAATCGCTTTATTCAAAATGTATCCAATTTTTTTGTGTGCGTGGTGGAGGTGCTGGTGCTGGGGGCGGGGTGGGGGCGGCGTGGGGCGAGCCGGGGTGGCCCCGTGTGCCCCCCGCGGGCTGGCGGTCCTCCCCTGCGAGGGGAGGTGGGACGCGCCCGGCTCCCCCCGCCCCGCCTGGGGGCTGGGGGGCTGCCTGCCGGGAGGCGGCCGTCAGCTCCCTCCCGAGGTCTCCCCGGGGCCGCCGCTGGGGCCCCCCCGGGCCTGGGCTCCTGGGTTGTCGCCGAGGTCTCCATCCCTGGCGGTCCCGGCTTGGTCCGCGAGGTCACCAGGCAGCGCCCCTCTTCGCAGGAAGAGGAAGTTGAAGGAGGGCTGGATGGAGGATGGATGGGGAGGGGCCCAGGCTGAGCCCAGGCGGCCTTGGGCGGGGGTCTTGCCCCATCCAAGGCCACCAGAGCCAACCCCCCTTCCCATGCACACTCACCCGACCCTCTGGCCCTGAGGCCACCGAGGCCGAGGCCGGGGCGTCCTGTCTGAACCGGCCGGTGAAGGTAGCTGGCTGCAAAGGATTCTGACGTCATTTCTGGAGGTCTAGGGGTTGAGCCCCCCCTGAAGAGAGACAGGAAGTGGTTGGCACAAGCAGAATACAGAAGCCTTGCCCGCCCCTGGTCCTCACTGACCCTCCCTAGCCCAGCCCCAAGCAGGAAACGCCCGGCCTAGGCTAGAGTGTTCTGATTACTACCTCCAAGGCTGGTTCCCAGGGAAGGGGATGGGGGGGGGGGGGTGTGAGGAGCCCACAAATGCCCGGACTCAGTACTCCAAAGGGTGCCCAGCCAAGGTCCGGGGGCGCTCCTTTCTCCATTGCCACAGTGAACAGACCTGGCTCAGCGGAAGGCCTTGTGAGGCTGCAGCCTGCTTCCGGCCAGGGACTATTTCCATGTACCACATGTGTTCACATGTAAACACACATTCCCCAGGGCCAGCTCCAGGCTGCCTTCCAAAAAGGAGGGGACACCACCGCTGAACCTGGGAGGCCAGGCGGGCAGTGGGGGGTCCCCAGTCTGTTTCTGCTCCCTTCCCTCTCTCTCTCTCTCTGCCAGCCACCCTCAGCAACGCCCTAGGGCTGGGTGGCGGGCTAGGGTGGAGGGCGGGGGGGCCGGAAAGGGCTGCTTTGGGGAACCCCCCTTCAGCTGGAGGTGGCCACGTCACACCACCAATTCCAATTAACTGATCCCATAACTCAGCGTTGGGGGGTGGCAGGGGGGAGAGCCCGGGGAGGGAGCCGGGTCCCCTTGTTGTACTTGATAACAATTATAGTTTAAAATCATAGCTTGCCGGAGCTCGGCTATATTTTACTTGATAACAATAAAAGTGACACATAAAGTTAACTGTTTATGTTTTATTTATTAGACTAAATCTGCCAGCGGTGGTAGGAGCGCTTGCCTCGTCGCTACAGCTTTTATAGGGCTGTAAAACGTCATAAATCAGTCTCGCGGAATCGCCCGCACTCTTTGTGTCTCGGCGGCTGGGCTGGCGGCCGCTGGCTGCCTGCTCCCTCCTTTCCACGAAAAGTCATAATGTGATTTTTTTCCCCTCTGATTTTATTATTATGATCGCCGACGTGATTAGTCAATCTACCTTTAATTCGCCGCCCTGCGCTGCCTCCTCCCAGCCCAGCCTGGTTGACACTTGAATAAGTACCTTTTAAAACGGCATAACAACTATTTGAGGGTTTAATTAGAACATCTGCAATTAAGGGAATGCAGAGGGGAAAGGGAAAAAAAAAATAAAGCCCTTGTGAGCAGGAGGCTGAATGCGGAAGATTCCCAATCTGTCTCTCAGTCACCTAGGGGATGCGGACGAGGGTCCCCACTTCCAATCTAGGGCTCTCTCCCAGGGCTGGAGAGAGGGTAGCCTGGGCCCTTCACCACCTCCCCCCTCCAGAGCTCAGGCCCTGCCCCCACCCCAGGCTCCCCAGGGATGATCCTTGTTGGTCCCTAACGGCAACGTCTTCCCAAGAGGACAATGCTCCCCCCCACCACCCATCAGGCAGGTAAAGGAACCGGAAATCCCTGCAGGTCCATAATCTCCCAAACTTTCAAAGTTGGTTGAGAAGCCCTCGAGCCCACGCTGCTTGCTGGGAAACTGCATGAGGGAAGGAATAGGGTTCCTCAGGGGAGGAGGGCTTTGAGGGGGAGGGCAAAGATGCTGCTGGCCTAAGGGGTTTATATAAGGAGTATGGGAGGGTTTATTTTTAGCAATTATTGGTGGTGGGCATGGGTTAATTATAAGTTGCCGGGAGAGGGCAAAGTTTGAAACCAAGGCTGAAAGCTAACCTACACGAAAAGTCTGAACCGAAGCCCCAGCCTGCTCCAGTGGGGAGAAGCCACATTCCAGGGACCCCCAAATGGTGAGGGGTGGATTAATGGAAGTTCGAAGAAGCCCCCCAGCCTCATTTGCGAATTTCCTTCTAGACAGGCACCTGGGCCTGGGTCCCTCACCCCCTTCCAGGCAGGCCTGGCTCCTCACTCTCCTCACTCACTTTCTACCACTCTGCCTGGCCTCAACCTCCTACTCTTCAATCTCTTTTCCCCCTTGGGTCTGTAAAGGTCTGTTTCAAATCTTCCAAAGGCATTACCCCTTCTCCATGGCACTCTCTGGGGTACTGAGCATCTGAAGGTGGGCTGAGGAAACAGAAGCAAGAAGACCACTTCAGGGCCAGTATATGGAAGGACATACTACTGCAAGTTCAGATGCCGCCAATGACATGTGGAGTCTGTCTGTGCTTATTACAGCAAACAAATATCTATGCATACATCCTAATAAATGTATTAGTACATTCACTGCCTCCTCGTGCCCTCATAGATGAGGTTCTCATTCAGGTTTGCACAGCTAATTCAACATGCACATCCAGAAAGTGAAATGTGGGAGATTACCCCAAATCTGCCCACACTCATCTCTATCATTTATTAAAAAAAAAAAGAAGTAAAAGCAAAAAAAATCACTCTCTCTGATCCTATAGCTTAAGAACAAGGAAGTCACCTCTTAACATGGGGAAAATAGCAAGCCATACCCTACCACGCGTGTACACACACACGCACACCCCACATGCAAACATTTTCACCTGAGTATTACTCAACCAGAAATAAAATCCTTTCGGAGATCTCCTGCACTTAGCATTGTCTTACTGAGAACTGTGGGGGGGGATCTTTGCTGCTTCCTCCCAGGCTGAGACGAACCCTTCCATCTGCATTGGTCCTACTTCTTTTGTGCTTCCGCCTCAGCAGCCCAAGAATCCCCATCTCTGCTCTGCGCTCCACCTCTCTCAGCCCCAATTTAATTTTTAAAAAATTTCCCTGTAACCATCTTCTGCCAGTATTCAAACTCTCTTCGAATGCTCCCCCCCCCCAAATTTTGATCTGGTTTCTCTTTCGGAAACATGTTTCAGTACAAAGCGCTTCCCTTCTGACACCACTGAAGAAAAATATGTGTCCATTGTGTGTGAGGCCTTATTGTGCCCAGATTACCATACTGACCGTTGGATAACCCATATTCCTCCCCTCCCCTGGAACCAACTGCCTGCCGGCAGGCCGGACAGACCTCAACAGCTCCATGGTTTCTGTGCTGCGTTAAAATCTCACCTCCTAGACTCCCTGGATTTTCCTAGGAATAAAAAAAGAAAGGGAAGAACCAATTCCGGATTTGGAGAGGAAGCAGAAGGCGGATGAGGGTCATTCCTTTCCCTTCTCAGAAGCACAGGGTGTATGCATGTGTGTGTGTGTGTGTGTGCATGCGTGTGTGTGCGCGTGTGTATGCTTTGTTGTTTCAGAGATTAACAATTGCAACATGTCTCTTTCTTCTTCCTCAAACAAATTGATTTTTAGATGGCATGCAATCAAGTGATTCATTTTTATTTTTTTCTCCAAACTTGGAGCTGCCCAGCTAAAGCCAGATTCAGGCCCCGTGTATGTATGTATATATGTGTTTGTCCCTTTCTAACGCCAGCAGGCAGGACTAATGTATGCAAAAGGATATGCAAATGTCTAATTGATTTTTTTCTTAAATCTCTTGTCAGTAAAAGTAATGAATTGGTCTAAAATGATTTTAATAACCCGGACGTGTCACCAGAAAATACTCAACCTTTTTTTTCTTTTTTTTTTGTCTCCAGGAATCGGAATCGCTTATAGTCTCAAAAAAAAAGAGGCAATCATGGAATGTTAATTTGCCCCCCTTTAAAATATTAAAGATGAATTTCTCTTGTTTATTCTGAGACCATAGGCCAGGTCCTCTTGTGGATTTCCCCCGCCTTGCTTTGCTTTCCTTGGAATTCAATTTTCCTCAAATCTCGTTTAAAGTGGCTTTTTAAAAAGTGGCCGCATTTTAATATTGGTTAGACAGAGTGACCTGCATTTCACCTCGGGTGTTTGACTTGTTCCAATAGGTCACTGCCATGGGGTTATTGATGGGGAAACTCCATTGAAATTTGTCTCTTCGCAAATGGCCTTTAGATCTTCCAGCGAGTTCAATAACTAGTTATAATGTGGAAGGGGAAAAATGAAGGCCCTGGGCTAACGAATTTGATGTTTCATTTTTATGCTGGAGAAATTGTTAGTTAGAGGTTGAGTTCCCCACCCCCTTCATTGCTCATCCTGGCCTCTTGGGTCCCCACTCCGGGTCCAAGGGTGTGGATTATAGCCCCTTTTAAACTTGGATTGGAGCACTGTCCCTTTCTCCCTTTGATTCAAACTTAAAGTTCTCATTATGAATATGGGCAGTGGTTGTGATTCTGGCTGGGGCTGCAGGAATCTGGTGCCACTCAAGATTGTAACCTAAACTTTCCTTCTTGAGGGG